TTTGCATTGAGACCCAAATTGAATTACTGAGGTAGCAAACAACGGACGAGAACACATCTGTTGGAAATGAATAATGTTCAATAAATACAAATAGGCTATGGCGTCTGGCACTGTGCGAATGTCTGTGGTGGCTCTAAATCGAAGCGTTAAGGCAAAATGATATCACTAGAATCAGCACAGAATGGTTATAAATACATAGTCCAAGTCGCAATTTAGAGGGTGTTAGCTTACGACTACAACTGGGTGCTTGACTCGTCATCGACAATTAACCAGCCAGATGTGATGTCTCGTTTTCCCCTTTGGCGCTAGGCATGGCTGGCCGAACGGCAAATTACTCACAAATGACCGTTCCCTTGAGTATGTAGGTTGCAGAAGTCGTGATGGACTGGCTATGGTTCATTTTTAAAAGTCTTGTCATTTCACGCTTTTGCCGGCCCCTGCAAGTTTACGCAACGCATCAATCCTAGTGCACTATCCACAGTGGACTCTACTCATTATAGAGTAAAAATAACAGTGTGGCAATCGATTATCACTAATTATTCGGCCCCACAAAACAAAGTGCCCGGTTATTGGGAACAGGTCAACAGAAAGGATATACTACACAGACCCCTTCCAGGTCGGAGGAAAAAGATTCTATGGATAAACCGGTCTTAGCAAAAACCGGAAAGATGGTGACTTAAATATGGCGATAAGTACCCTAGAACATGGCTCATTCAGATAGTGTATTATTGCGACGGGCGAGTAGCTTAGCCATAAAAATAGGTCATAAGGGACCCGAAGCCAGAGAGGAACTGGTTTCCATCTGTAAACAGAAGAACCAACCTGGATGTACTCTGTAACCTCACGCGGAGTGACTGTAAAGCCGTGACCACGAGTTTGAGATCCCCCAGTTAGGCCCCTGTCGCCGCGAGCGTGGAATATGCCGCAACGGTGGGGCATGGAGTCTTCAAACTGATAAACGGTAGCTGAATAATAGTCTACCGAGTAGACAATCCGAAGGTATATCAGCAAACGGTCGAGTGCCCGCGCCAGAGAGGAATCAGTCTCTATTGGGACGGCAGTGATCGTGTCGGCCGACTCGGCGGTCCCCTCGTCACCGGCAGCTCCAGAATGGTTCTCGTTGGCGGCACCACTAGCCACTAGAAGAAGACAGAAGAAATATTAAAAAGAGCACAAAGTCAATTTACAAAGACTAAAATCCTCTCCTGAAACGGACTTATTAGGATTGAAGAAAGTTGGTACGTCTCAATAACACCAAAAAACCTTTCTGAACTCACTGCAGAAGCAGCACGGGAAAGGAATTATCAATTCGAGGGGGTAACCAAATACCTAAATTACCTTCTGTAGGCAAGTGCGGGTTAGTGGTGCTGTCCCCTCCCGCTGGCTGGTCAGGTAGCGTCTATAAGGAACCATCGCTGAGGACAGTAATCGTTTTATTAAACCCTCTCCCAACGTTTATGGTGGTTTTACGATTACAAACTTTACAAGCAACACGCAAACATCTAATTCTGTTTTTTGTTGAAAAAAAAATTAGCAGTAAAAACACATGCCATGTTTGATCGTCGCAGAACACTCGATGAATTGGAAGAAGTAACTGACCCTGGAGTTCATGCTAAAGGTTTAAGCAAACGTCTTTCATGACTGCTTCCCAGTGAAAAGAAGGAACATCTGTGTGCGTGCGTGCCAGTAACTGAAGGAAGCAAGAAAAACTGGCCCTGACTTCGTCAAAAGTCATTACAGGGAATTTTCCGTCACTGT